GAAAAGACATTGCAAATGGACAGTGAACTGTAGACACAACTAAATAGAATGAACCAACTTTGGGGACTTGTGTAGTCATTTTAAGTACTCCAGGCTTCTCCCTGGAACAAAGGCTTATCTTTTAAACATCAATATTTTTCCATTGATGCTATGTGTCTTTGAGTCATAGACCACCAAAAATTATAAATAACTGAAAGTTCATGGTTGCTGCAAGGGCAATGGAGAGGCTCATGGTGGTAATTATTAGGCTAAAACATATAACTAAAGAGAAGTTGCATATGAAAAGTAACCCATGTATGTGGACTAGAAAAAGAGCTATCAGTCCTATATCAAAAGTGAGAGGATATCCTGTGAACACACTGAGTGCTTCAGTCTTGTTCACATTTTGTCAAGACATTTAGAAGAAGCACTTAAGCAAATTCACTGAAGCCCTCATGGAGGTTCTATATGAGAATGTGGACAAGAAATGCAAGAATGAGGCAGCATGGATGGGTTGTGATTTGTGCTTTTTGGAGGAAGTAGCCACATCAATGAGGTCACAAATATGTGAAACTATTGGAGGAAGTTTTCTTCTGGATTCTTTATTTTTGTTTACATTCATTTTTCTCTGTTTTCTATTTTTTACTCTCTCCTTTCTCTGCCTAGCTGAATGGTTTGAAACCCTCCCTCCCTTGCCTTTCCTTCAGTTTCTTACTTTGTTACATTTTTTCTTCTCTTTCCCCAATACATTTTCCTTTGCTTTGCCCTTTTCATCATTTATCTTCTGTTTGTCAATTCTGAATGTTATTTTCTGATTTATTGGCTATATTCTTCATCCCTCATGGAGGTAAAGCTTCTGGAGTACCAGTTTTGAGTTCTCTTCTGTTACTGTATTTATAAATCATATGCCTATCCTCCCTGTTTTCCTCTGTGCATTACTCTTAGAAATATCAGTTCATGAAGGAAGTAATGTTGGATGGAAACAGTGTTGTATAGTATCTCAAGTTATGAGATCCAGTTTTAACTCCTGCCCTTATGTCATATTGACCTATCTGATTCTAAGTCATCCACTCCTCCACCACACACATCTTACCATTATGAGTGCTAGGTACTCTTTAGGAGTCATATATCTCTTCTCCTGAGGTGGGATTTGGTCTAGGGTGGTGTAACCCTTTCTCAGAAAAGATGTTTTTCTAATGTGCAAATTCCACTTGTGCGAAACTTGTTGGAAGTTCTGTCTCTTACTGCAGACATATGTCTTTCCAAAGAGAATGTTCCTTACAGGTATTCTTTTCTTTCCCCTTCTGGAGTGACTCCCACTCCCCGTTTTCCAATCCTTCAATTCCCTTTCTTTTATTCTATTCTCCTTACAGACGTACTTCCATTTTATTTTTGGAGAGACCAAAAGGAACTATCCCCTCGTTGTTAGCCTAAAGACTTGGTAGGGGTGCACCCATTGTTCTCCTGTCACTTATCCCTCAATTCCTCTCCTAATTTGTATAATTTCCTACTCTCTTATTCCCTCCAATACAAGCTATTAATTTAATTATAGGGGCTCAGGAACTTAAGCCCATATTATTAATTCAATTCTTTCCCTTTGCCTAATTATGTAAGTTCGCCTTAAATATTACCTCAGATAAGTATTACCTGTTTGACGATAATTCCTATTTACATTCTCTTCAATCCAGTGACACTGGCCCCCTTGCTGGTCTTCACCCAAGACACTCAATCTCCCAAATCTGGTCATTTTCAATGACTGTTCCCCATGCTTAGAACTCTCTCCCTCCCATTTCCACTTTCTAGCCTCCTTTAAGTCTTAGCTAAAATCCTATCTTCCGGAAGAAGCCTTTCCTCTGTGATTAATTCAGTTTATTCTGTATGTATGTACATATGTATGTGTATATATATATATACATATTATATATGTATATATATATGTATATATATATGTATATGTATATGTATGAATATATCTGTCTTTATATCTATCTCTATTTGTTTGCATGTCATCTCCTCCTTAGCCTGTGAGATCCTTGAGGACAGGGATTGCTTTTTGCCTTTCTTTGTATCCTGTGCTTAGCATAATGCTAGGTTAGGTGCTCAATAAATGCTGGTTGGTCTGACCAATTGAATGCATTTACCTTGCTTGTATTTTTTTTTTTTTGGAGTGTTTACAAGCCAAATATCTCATCTCTTTTTCTCCCCCTAGGAATGGTTCACATACTTCTCTTTTGTTGAAACTCCATCTCTTTTCATTGATTAGGTTCAAGTTTGCAAGGATGTATTCTTTTGGGGTCACAGCCTGAGCTCCTTTGCTTTTGGGAATACGTTATTCTATTCTTTCTTGAAATTTCACATTAATGCAGAATCCTGTGTTAATTGAAATCTTCCTCCTCTCCTTCTATTGTCTTTTCTTCATAATTGAAGTTATTCAGGATTCTTTGAAAATTTTTTTAATTGAAATTGTGAATTTTGACAATTACATGCCTTGGAATTTGAAGTGTGTATTTTTTTTTTTCCTGGCAGTGATATGTGTATTCAGTTAATCACTGCTTTGTTTGTATTTAGAAGTTCTGGACAGTCTTGACTTTGCTTGAAGTATAGTAGTCAGGATTTTTTATTTGTCCTGCTTTTCTGGGAGACCTATGATTCTTAAGTTATCTCTGTACTTTCTGTCTTCATAGTGAGTCACTTTTGCTTATAGAGAATTCTTGCTTTCTTTTGTTTCTCTTCTGAAAAATTTCTCCTCTACTTTAGTATTTTTGTGTTTAAAATCCATTATCCTCTCAGAACATTTTTGAAATCCTTTCCATCATATATTTTCCCCCTATTCTGTGGTTTCATAATTCTCCATCAAGCCCTGATTTTTCACTTAAATTCATTCCTATTTTTAAAAAAATTTCATTACTCTTTTGAAACATTCTAGAGTTTCTTGTTCCATGATCGCTGGGCTTTACGTTACAATACTTGCTCAATGTGACCTGGCTTCTTCCTGAGGTATTACTCCTTTTTTCCTCCTCCTTCTCCTCCCCCCCCCTTTTTTCTCAATTGTTTATCTGCTTATGAACACGGTTTTTATTCAGGCTCCTTTTTTGAACTTTTAGCTTTTCTCCTGTATTCTCAGTTACTTCTTGCCTCTGGATTCTTTTCTCACTAGATGGTTTCTCTCATTTACGTTGCTGCACAGACCCCCAACACTGAGCAACTAGGACTCTAGCTTCTCCAAATTAGGGACACAAGGACTGATTTGGATGGGTCCCTACTCTGAGTAACCTGGGGGATGTGGGAGAGGGGATTAACCTTAGCTGGATTTCTACTGCTTTTCCCCCTTTAGCCTGTGGACTTGGGCACAGGCCATATCTGCCCACATATTGCATTGATGTTTTCCTTTCCCTGGTTCAGAAAATCATCATCCGCTGATTCTTATAGAGTTAGGAGGAATTAAGGGTAAGTCGGAGCCATGGTTGAATCTCTATTGTTGGACCCTGAGACATGCTGGTCTTCTTGCACCCTTTGAATCTAAGGCAGGCAATGAGTTGGGAGTTGGGGTTCTAGTAGTTAAATTCTCCAGCATCATTTCATTTTCTAAAACCCTTGTAGAAATTTTTATTTTGTATAAATAATAAAATAAATAATAAATTGATGGCTCCATCATCTCATCCCTTTCCAATTTTTGTTCTGCATAGTTTTTAAATTTGTTTCTAGTTAAGCTAATTTTGGGGCTTGTTTTTCTGATTCTTCTTCATTTCCATCACTGTTTCCTAGTGAAATGAGTTTGCTTTTAATTGAATGTATTATTTTGTTGGTATTCTCTATGGGCATTTCTAATCTGTTGCGTTTCATCATCATCTTTTGAGAGATTCTTTAATCCCATTCCATCCCCTCTTCATTTTATCTTTTGGTCTTTTTGTTAATTTCATTTGTTTCTTGATTTGGTGACTTTACTATGTGGCTTGAAAAAAAATTTTAGCTTTAATTTTCATGCTACTAGTAGTATAGCTTCAATATCTTTTCCCCCCTGGTGTTTCTTCCTTTGCTTCTTTCCCCCCCCCCCATTATGCTAGAACTTAATTCATTTCATAAAATGTTCATTTTTCCTCAAAAAAGGAAAATTTTCTTGTAGCTTTGCTTCTCTTGGGAATTTATATAACTCTATGAGTGGGATTTTGTCAAAATAAGTTCCTTCTAATCTCGTACTCCTCCAACTTGTCAGAATCTTCCTATGAAATATTTATAGTTTTTGTCCCTCCTCTCTACTCTCACCATCACCGCCACTACCTCAGTTCAGCCTATCCATGAGTCTTCCATGTCTATTTTCTCTCCTCTTTACTTCATGCTTCTTTCTGACGCCAAACTAATCTGTGCACACTTAGTCTTGCCATTCCCCTTCTCTTCAGTCTTTCCCTTTTGCCTCACGAACACATTCAAACTCCATAACGTAGAGTTCAAGGTCTTCCATAACTTAGCATTGTAGTATGACAATGGATAGAGTATTGGACCCAGAGTTCAGAAACATCCGGGTTCAACTCCTGCTTCAAACTAGCTGTGTAACTGTGGGTAAGTTATAGGAACTCTGCAGACCTTAGTTTCCTTAGTTATAGAAAAGGGGGTTTCTCTTTCAGTTCTAAATCTATGATCTCACCTCTGTAGTCTTACTTTGCATAACTTTCCCACATATATAAAGGCCTGAGAATTGAAACCAATCTCCAACCTCATGAAATCCAACAAGTGTTCATAATACCCTGAAGCACAGCATATGATCCATGTGAATGGAAGATTTCCAACAATCTGTGTATGAAAACTGACATTATGAAGGTGATGGATAACTTCAGAATTTAATCAACTGTAATTTATACACTACCATCTTAAGAACTAAAGGATTTCAGTAATTACTAGGAAGGCCTGAATACGTTTAGTTTCCTTCAAGCCATCTAGAGAATGAGAAAGTCACTTTTAGTTTCCCGGATCATGAATAATTTATTTGTATGAACAGACAGAGAGTAAAGATACACACAAACTAATTCCTTTTTGATGCATATGTTTATTGGTGACCTGCACTTTCAATATAGCAGGCCAGAGATGTAATAATAAAAAATGCTTCCAAATGTATGTATTCTTTGTGTGTTTCATCAACCACTCTAAAAAACCAGTGCTGGAGAGATCAAAGAATTCAACACATTTACTTGTCTGGAACAAGCAAAAATTTTAATATTATCTTTTAAGAGTCTGCTAATTACTCTTCTATTTTAAAATCTTAGATACATTCCCCAATGTAAACAATAAATTTCAATCTGTGTCACACAATCAAAATTGATAAGGCCTTCTTGACAATTTATGCCAACTCCATTATTACATCATTACAAACCACAATCTTTTTTCATACTATAAATATCCACCCATGCACAAAAGACAGGGACCAGAAGTTGCACATTAATATTTCATGTAGCCTTTCAAGACTTCCATTTTCCTCTATAGCTTTATGATACACTTAAAAAGAGATCTTTTTCACTTGATCTACTTGGTCTTAAAATACAAATATACAATATCCGTAAGCATAAAAAAGTAGAGCCTAGCCTTAGCCATTTATCATGAATTGCTAAAGTCCTATGCAAGTACAATGCCATTTCATGCCAACTGATACACAGATTATGGTGGTTACATGTCTCAACCATTAATGGGCGGTGGTTGGTTACACAGAACATATGATTTATATGCATGTTAAAAGGTTGGCTTTAGTTTGGTTAGGCAGTACAATTTATAGGAATCAGTTATATACTTGCATACCCTGCTGATATATTTAAATTAATTTGGAATAGAATTTGCTTAACAAAAAAGAGAAACGATCCCATCATCTCTTCCTGTTCTCCCAATCCAGGAGACTTTAATGCCATACCTTAAAGAACGCAACCAAATAAAAGTAAATAAAGGCATAGCACAACTAATGTCACCCCAAGGTCAATGTTTCATAATTATGTCCATTAGTACATTATAACAAAACCCCACCATAATGTCACAATACTATTGCAACATGGCACCTCTGCCTCATTGTGGATTATTTCCATGCAACCCATTCCCTGTGTAACGTTTTGCCTAGTGTCCTGTTTTGGAGGAACCACTTAATTCTATTCTGTGTGGTATGCCTGCATTCAACTCTACTAGTCAGTCACTTGGTAACTTCTAAGTTGGCTTATTCTTTTCAAACAAGTTAATCAACAACAGCCACAATTCAATACCTCAGTATTACCATAAATATTTGAAACAGGCAGATCTATGTAGTGTAGATGGTGAATCAGTAAAGAACATACACATTTCTATAGATAAACTATTTTAAAAGGCATTCTGTGACCATTTTTGTAGGATATAGAAAAGTTACTAAGTATTTACCAGTTACTTTTGCTGTTATCACTGTATTGTAAACTGTGGAGTCATTTTTATATTAATGTATTGTTTTATATATCATACAACAAAAAGAAGAAATAGAAATTGTTTTCCCCAAAGTGACATATATCGACTCACTAAGCTAAGGTAACTGGCAGAGGGCACAATTTTCCTGAGGTTTGTAAGAGTTTTAAAAAACAAAACAAAACAAAACAATCACAGTGACCAAGCTCAGCCGCACACAGGGGTCTTCACTATGCAGCCCACACAGGACGTCTTTACACGGTTACCAGCGTGTGCTAGTGCTGCAGTCCATGCTACATGACTCGCCACTGCATAATGCTTGTGTCTTTTCCACCTGTGGAGATGAGATGGCTGTCTTCACATAGAAAGTCTACATTAGTTACGTGACTACTGTGTCCACCATATACATGGCTGGGAGCCTGCGAAGCAACAGGAAAATGAAACACTATTTTAAAAACATTTATAATCGGCGATGTTTCAGTTTAATTCAAACATTTATTAAGAAGTGCGCCCTGCTTTGTCTACAGAGCGCTATCTCTAGAACACAGTCATATTTGTTCTCAGAACAACTATACTGTTAATGATGAGATCATAAATTTGGAGCAGGAAGGCACCTCAGAGACCATCATACTACATTATTTTTTTGAGGCAATTGGGGTTAAGTGACTTGCCCAGGGTCACACAGCTAGTAAGTGTCAAGTGTCTGAGTCTGCATCTGAACTCAGGTCCTCCTGACTCCAGGGCTGGTGCTCTATCAACTGCGCCACCTAGCGGCACCCCCCCTTTTTTTTTTTACATTTTATGGAGAAAACTGAGGCTCACAGAGATAAAGTGATTGGCCCAAGGTCACAAGAGAGTCTGTCAGTCAATACATATTTATTAAGCACCTTTTATGTGCCAGGGACTCTGCTAAATGCTAGGGAAACAAAGACAGGCAAACATCAGTCCAGCTGTTAAAGAGCTCAGTCTAATGGGGGAGAAAAACATGAAAACAACTCTATACAAAGACATACACTAGATAAGCTGGAGCTCTGTATTCAGGGGCATTGGTAAAGGCTTCTCTGGAAGATAAGCAAAAGAGGCAGAATTCAAACTCAAGTCCTCTGACTCCAAATCCAGCACTGTTTCCACTATACTATGATATTCCATCAATCAATTATTATAAAGTATAAACTCAGAGTTGGAAGAGACCTTAGAAGTCATCTAGTCTAAAACCTATTAAATGAGATAATACTTCAAAATGCTTAACCCAGTGCCTGGTACTTAATCAGTGCTTGTTCCCTTCTCAATCTTTTCTCCATTTCCTTATTCGTAAAACAGAGATAATAACATTTGTACTCGCTTTGTAAAACAGAGATAATAACATTTGTACTCGCTATCTCACAGGGTCATAAACCTTAAATTGCTATATAAGACTAGGGCTTTCATCTCCCTTCAATTTGCAAAAATTCCAATTCCAATTCCATGTAAAGGACATTCTTAAGTGTTCCTATGTATAAGGTACTGGGCATATAAAGACATAAAAATGGAAACAACCTCAACCTAGTTTACATTTTGTAACATATACAGTGATTGTTTTTATGAGTAATAATGACAGTGATGACAACGTTAAGCACAATCTTTCTTATTCATTCTAATGCTTTGTGGTTTTTGTAGGGGCAGGATGTATGAGTTGGTTTAGCAAGCTGTAGATTTTCTACTCTGGGTCATCCTTGAGTTTAGGCAGAATCATTGCCAAATTCTTGGTTGCCTAGCCAAGACTCTAAATATGCAGAGAGATTTTACAGTAAGGGAGGGTCCAAAACCCAAATAAGAGAAAAACCCCCAAAAGTCCTAAGCCATCAATCCTTCCCTATTTGCTGGATAATTACTGAATTTCTCCTGAAGAATACTTCTAAAGATGAGATTAACGTGGTTATTAAAGCAACACCTTACCCTGAACTGTGAACAGGGATAAGAGAAGAGATGTACTTTGCCAAAGTCATCACCAGTTGATAAAAGTTTTTTCTTGTGGGACCTACAAACAGCATTGATATCTGTTCCATCTGACCCTTCTGGCCACACTCCTGAAATAAAGCAGAGTTTTGACATATTTTATATACTTACTCTTTCGTGCCATTAAAACTAACATTTCTTTAATACTACCAAAAATATAGTCATTCTGCCTCGGATCTAGGGCTTCGAAAGGCAAATGCCACCCCAACCTCTACTCCTATTTTCATCTTTCCATATTAGCCTATTTCCAACAAATCATGGAGGGACAGGCTTCTTAACATCAAACAAGAAATAAAAGCTACTTGGAACCACAGGAGTCAGGGGTCATACCATAGCCTCTTTCCTGTGACACCTTTGGGCTCACATTTGCCACACAGGGTGGAAGAAAGTTTCACATCTGCTGCTCTTTCTTTTCCCCTAAGGATTCAATTCCAAGCGACCTTTTAGGCTTTGGGTTCCCCACCCTTACTTTATGACTTAATAGCTATAGGTAAATCTTTCCAAGTGACTCAAGACTTTTTTGTTCATTTTGGTTTGGAAAGCAGATTTTAAGTCACAGAATCTTAGCACTGGAAGGGACCCTAGAGATGATATAGTTCAACCCGCTTATTTTACAGATAGAGAAACTGAAATTCAAGAAGGAAAATTATGGATCTGAGGCCACACAGCTAGTTAAGTGGCAGAATGGGAGCAGGGGAGACTCAACCCTAGGTCTCACGGTTGTGAGCTACAGTGGGAAGAGCACTGGACTTAGAAAACTGTAATACCTAGGTTAAGTCCCAGTTTTTGTTACTCAGTAGCTCTGTGTGATCACGGGCAAGTCACTTTCTCTCTATCAGTCCCAGTTTTTTCATATATAGACTGTAAACTCCTTAAGGGAAGGCACGATCTTTGTGTTTGTATCCCCACTTACTAGCACAATGTCTGCCACTTAATAAATCCCTGTTGATTAATTATATAAATTGAGGATAATAATCCCTGATCTGCTTATCTCCTAGGATTCCAGGGCAGATCAAATGAGCAAATGAAAAGTGAAAGCATTTAATAATTACAAAGTGATATATAAATGATTAATATTTTCCCTTTCTACATCACTGTAATATATTTACACAATTTTTATTATACTTGCAAGCATATCATATCAGAACGAACTAAATCTGAGTAACTGAAACAACATATTCACATTGTGCTTTTTACAATGTACATTGGACCCTCACATCATCCTTATAGGATAGACAAGGACTTTCATCTCCAATTTGCAAAGATTTCTATTCAATTCAGTAAAACAGGCATTTATAAAGCTCCTACCATATACAAGGCCCTGAGGATAAAAAGACACAAAAAAGGAAACAGTCATTCCATTCACACATTCTGCAACTTGTGCACAGGTAAGTAAATAAATATACTTTGAGGGAGGGAAGAGCACTGCTCTCTGGATTTCTGAGGAGATGGTACTCAAGCTCGTCCCTAACAGAAGGCAAGAGTTCCAAGAAGCAGAAATGAGAAAGAAGGGAAAGAGAGAGGGATAGCAAACAAGCTAATTTGGCTAGAAGATGGTGAATATGAAGGGAGATCATATGGAATAAGTTTAGAAAGGTAAGCTGGATCCAGTTTGAGGAAGGCTATACATACTTGGCTGAGAAATTTGAAATTTATTAAAAAGGAAATAGGAAGCTACTTAAAATTTTTAAGCAGTGGAGTGATATGGTCAGATTTGTGCTTTAAGAAGATTAATTTGGCAGCTCTGTGGAGGGTAGAATGGAGAGAGAAAGGATGGAAAAATACCAAATAGGAGGCTATTATAACAGTTCAGGTGAGACAGCCAGAATTAGGTTGATACCAGTAGGAACAGATAAAAAGGGTAAAGATGTGAGGTATATTATGACAGTAAAATAAAAAAAGACCTGGCAACCTGCATATTGGGGATGAGGGAGGTTGCAAATTGGGGAAACTGGAGGAATGTTGGCATTCTTGCCAATCTAGATAAGTTTAGAGGTACAGGTTTGTTTAGTATGGGTGGGAGATGAAGAGTTAGATTTTAGACGTGTATTTGCAATGTCCTGGTCTATATGGCAGGTGGTGATTTCAGGCTACAAAGATTAGGACTTGAACACTCTCTCTCTTGCTCTCCACTCCCTCCTCACCCCATCTCTATGTGTATACATGCATACATACATACATACATACATACATATAGATATATGTATATAAAATCTACAAATAACATTCATACATTGTATTTGGGAGTCATCTGCATAGAGATGATAATTGAACCCATATATCTGATGAGATAAATGAATAAATGAATAAAAAAGTATGTACCAAGTGCCTACTCCGTGCTAGGGACTGTGCTAGCTGCTAAGATTACCGTTAGAGAAGGAAGGCAACCCCTGTCCTTAAGGGGCTCACATTCTAAAGGGGGAGACAACACCATAGTGGTAGTCAGAGAAGGAAGCTATGGCATCACAAGGACTATGAATGGAAGCACACCCTTTCAAGGAATAGTGGTAATATGGGTTTGATAAACCACGTGGCTAGATAGATGTTAAAGGGGCCATCAACATGTACATTGAAGTTCCTGAACACAAGGGAAAGAGTTGGGGTGGAGAGGAAGACCATGAAAAAGAGTGACCTATAGACTGGTAAGTTACCACAGGGATCTGAACAGGATGATACAAATAGAGTGAACCTCGAAAAACAGTTCGCTGAGTGATGGTGGCAAAAGGGATAACTTAGAAAAAAGCAATAAGATCAAGGAGTACGCTTTCTTATCATCTGGCCCACTGTACTGGGGACTAAGAAAGAAAGAAGACCTACTACATTAAAGAGTGGCCAGAAATATACAGGGGTCATCTTTCTATGGATGTGAAAAGACAGAAGGCTGTGAGAAGAAGAGGTCTAGAATGAGACTTAATTTGTTAGCAACAGAACCAGGGTTTGGGAGAGCTCAAAGAACAGCAATGGTGGAAAAGAACAGGGACTCAGGAGAGGTGAGATGGATGAGTTGAGAGACAAGAAACTGGTAGCATGGGAGAGGTTTTTTTGTACTCAGAATCACAAAGATTGGGGGGAGGAGGTTGGAGGAAGAACCAGCTTACTAAGGCCATCCTTCAGTGTACTATAATGAGAGAGGTCAAGGGTCAGTTTGTTGTTCTCTCTCCAATAATCAAGGAAGAAGAGGTTGAATTAGAAGAATAATTTGGTTAGGTATCTGAGTTGGGAAATATCTGATTAGATGCCCAGGAGCCTGACTAAACTTTATACTGGGTTACAGTTCCTTTGCTTCATCTCAAGATGATGCAGGATGACCAGTACTCAGAAGCTACTGGGTATCTGAGCATGTGTGTGGCTCCCAATTTGGTTTGGTGTTTGAGGCCCTGGTCCTGGCAGGGATCCTGATTGCCAGCAGCCCAATATCTGGGTAAGTGATGATTATGGAAGGCTGAGGCACTGTTGTTTTTTCTTACATGAGTTAGCAAAACTGTAGAAGAGGTAGTGCCTCCACAAGCAGCAGGCTCTTGAGTGAGGAGGTCTTCAAATCCATTCTATCACACTGCTGAGTCAGGAAATGATGAAAGGATTAAGGACTAGGGTAAGACCCTAGTTATCAGTGGTGGTCTCTACTCACCTGGGCACTTATTGGTACTGCCGGGCTGAGGTACTCCTGTTTTCAAAGATGGATTGGTGACACAAGGCATAATCCCTATGTGTGACAGTAGGTTTAGGGGTGAGGAGGCCTCCCAACCCAATTCTTGAGGGGATGGTCCTGGGACAAAAGTAAAGTGATGGTTGCCCCTGATAGGTTAACAGCAGGCCCCACTGAGAGATGGGCACGGATATGACATGCTGGGGGACAGAACTGATAGAACTTGAAGATATGAAATATAAAGAAGTGAAATAATATCCCATTTCAAGAATTTAAATCTAATGTAGCTAAGTAATCTATAGAGAGAATCATATAAGATCACCTAGTGTGTCCATCTTGATTTGGATTTACAAAATTTCAGTCATTTTTCAGGTTCTTCAAAGGAAAGAGGCTGTAGAAATCCCAGGGGAGAGATATGAAGCTAGATAAACCTGGTAGCCTGTGAATGGGATGTCCCAGTGAAGACTCCTCAGTGTAATTAAGGTTTGGGATAAGGCTCAGTGGGATGAGGGTCCTGTGAAAACTTCTTAGAAGAGTAAATATTTACCAGAAATCACCTGATTTATGGAAATTCAACCCTCCCCCCCTTATGCCATTGTTAAGTTAAAGTTTGCCAAGCCTGAAACTCCTGAAGAAGCCCCCCCTGTATTTTGTTGATGCACCTGTTGCTATATTTCGGTCATGGTGACCTGGCTATACAGTACAGTGTCTAGCTTGACTGCACATCTTTAATTGCTTCTTTGGTATTACTTCAGCAAACTAAGAAATATAGATATGTATATTGTGTTCATTGTTTTGTTTTCAGTTCCTATGGACATTGAGAATGTGAGCCAAATAGTGGCCAGTTGGTGGGAGGGGGGAATTTGCCCATTAGGGTATATAATCAGGTCCTTTGCTTCTGTCTGTGTCTCCTTTCATCAGAGTATTCTCGTGGAAGGACACCCAAATCTCGAGGTTTGATATAATAATAATAAATTAACTTTCTGTTTCTCTTTGGATACCTCTGCGTGTTTTTTTTTTAAATTTGAGTGGCATCCCACACACCTGGAATTTTCCAGGATCCCAAAGTGGTAAATTCTGACCCTAATTGTTAATTGGGGTAGAAAGGTCTACAAGTTAGTTTAGGCAAGCAAGTGGTTCAGGTTGGCTTGGAGATCAGGAAAGAGAGAGTGGAGGGAAGAAAGGTGAGGACCCAGAGAAACAGTTTGCATTAATTAAAAAAAGTTGAAAATGAGTAGACAAACATTCTTGCTTAATAAAGTTTACAAGAAACTTACCAAAGACATGGAATCCTAAAGTACAGGTGTATGTAACCCATTCTATATCTCTGGTTGTTTCCACACTTACAACTTGCTTACATGCAGAAGGGACCCCTAAAAAAGAAAAGAAAAGAATTGATGGCCTAAGTTTTAAATAGAAGAGATGAGCTGAAACATTAGAATGGACTTGATTCATTTCTTGCTTTGGTGACCTCAGGTGTGAATTTCCACCTGTACTACTCAGAAAGGGGCTTCACAACCTCGAGCAATCAGTCCTATGTGGTACCAATACTCCCAATTAAAAATCATCCCTAAAGCCTAACCTAAATCACTCATAGTTAAGTGTAAGACCATTTCTTGTTTGGTTCTCACCTCTCTTTCTGTGCCCTCTCCTATCCTCTGGCCTCCTCATTCCTACACCACTTAGAGTTTACAATTTTCTCACTGTCCTCTGCCTGCCCAAGGCTTTCCTCTCCCCCTACCTAGTTCCATCTTCTCCTAAAGTAGTGTAATGTCCTGAAAAGAATACTGGGCTTGGAGTCAGAAGACCTGCTTTCAAATCCTGTTTCTAATATTTACTCTAACCACATGATTCTGAGCCTCAGTTTTCTTATCTAGAAAAAAGAAAACAATATCTGCTCTGCTTACCTGATTGGGGGGAGTCTTATGGAGAATGTTATGTAAATGTAAACTATTATTGGGGATCTTCTCAACATCTCCATTCTCAGCACATTTAAATTTGGTGTTAGAAAAGCAGAACACTAACAATTAACATTAAGATAATAATAACTGTTAGATACTTCTCATAATTCTCTCAGTCTTGCTTACCCACATGAATTTCTTATTGACTGAATTTTAATCAGTGCTGGGGAGACATTTGAGGGACAAAGACTTTCTCTTAAACAACACAATTTATTTCTTCTTGTAATGAGTCACATTTATATAGCACATCAAAATTTGTAAAGTGATTTCCCTATAACGAACTCTGTGAGGGAAGCAGTGTAGGTATTATTTCCCCCATCTTATAGATGAAGAAATTGAGGCTCAGGAGGTGAGGTGCCTTGAGTAAGGTAACAGAGTTGATAAGTATTAGAATTGGTATTTAAACCAAAGTTTCTTGACTCTAGGCCTGGTACTTTTTCTACTATATCACACTGCTTCTAGAAGCCAGCCCACAGAAGCAAGAGGAAAGAAGAAAGCTGTGGCCCTCAGTCAGTTTCTCACATGCTATATAACTAATGCCCTTTCTCGCTGGAAAGAAGAATTCATTCCTGCTCTTCAACCTCCCTTCATCCCAGCTTTCTCCTTGTAGCCTATGGCCAAGGCTGCCAATTTTCATTTCCTAGGCACCCTGTTTGAATCCAAGTGTGACTTGTGAACCTTGCTCTTTCCTGGCTTTCAAAATCTGGGGGCAGGTATCCTTGATAGCCAGTACCTCTTGTATGTAGTCCATGAGTCCTAGAAGCAGGGAAAAATTTGGGTCCCTCTAGTTTATGGAACTTTAGTGGGACTTAGAAGTAGCTTCTCCATTCATCTAGTTTGTCTCTTCTTTCCCCCTAGCTAATTCTAGAAATGACTGATTCAGTTCTACAAAAGTGGTGATCATAGTCATTCACAGGAACCACTCACCATTTGTGCATAATTATCATACAGGACAATAAAGATTATGTATAACATTAAATATGTGACATATTAGCTCTGTTGAAATTTGATTTGATCACAACATTCAACATTAACCAACACTTCATGAGTGTTTGATCTTTGTAGTACGTTGCTTATGCTAACATCATTGTCTACTCACAACTAAAATCGATTAGAGAGAACATTGCAGAAGACTTATCAAACAAGGCCTCATACTTTTGTGATTTCATTGGTGTATGTTAACTGCTAGTAAGGAGATTCCCTCAACCAAAGCAGATCAACAACTGCTTTGTAATTTATAATCTTAGAGAATTGCCTGGGGCACTCAGAAGTTACATGACTTGCTCAGGATCACACAGAAAGTACATGTTAGTTAGACAGGACTCCCAGGGCTTTCTGAGCCAAAAGCTGACCCTCTACTATCCCACTCTGCCATAGTGGGAGCTGTCCTCAGAAAGAATGAACATTTAATGTCATACTTGAACAGTTTTGTTCTCTTTCTTGCCCAAATGTAATGCTTTAATTTACTAATGACAAATCTATCAAACTCCTATCATATAAGAGTTAGAAGAGACCCTAAAACATAGAACCTTGGAATATTAGCGCTAAACCCCTAGAATCAAAGACCATAGAATGTCACTGCCAGAAGGCATTTTTGTCATGAAAGAATCATAAGACATCAGAGCTGGAAAGAACTTCAGAGGTAACCTTGTCCAACTACATCATTTTGCAGATCAGGAAATTGAGGTCATGAGAGGGAGGATGATCTGCTTGCCCCATGTCACATAACAAAGTAATGTGTTTCTATCTTTGTTAAATAACCTGGAGTGAAATACATATATCATCTCTACCCCAAAAGAATTTATTTTACTCACAATAAAGAATTTCATAGTCCCCTGAGTTAGACACAAGATACTGAGAATTAACAGACCAGTCCAAGTGAGTAATAAAGCTGGAATGACCCTAGAAAAAGAAGTGAATCTTATTAGTTTCACTGCCATTATATATTTTTAATTCAAAGTAGTTAGACTATGGAAATAATTCATTTTTATTTATCACAAACTAAAGAAGGTACTTACTGAGCATTTGCCAATTCGACTATATTTTCTCCCATTGTCATAAACACCGTATATATAGATGCAGTTGTCATGTGAACCTATTGCCAAGAAATTTCCATCTATAAAGAAAAGTGCATTATAATTACATTTCAAGTATAAAACCATAAATTTATAAAGGCCACTATTTCAGTTTCCTTAGCAGATTTAAAGAAAATCCCCTGAAGACAATTATTTCTTCTCTTATGGATAATTACCAGATTCTTTCAAAGTATAAATTATTTCTGGGGAATAACTTACCTTTGGCACATTATCCACTTAGTCATCCTTGGTAAAGAGGGACAGAAGAGTCAGAGCTTAAAAAACTCACCCTGATTATCTTGACCTTTCATTTTAGTCTCAAATGTTAGCTACTTCTGGACACTTATGGTGGAGTAAAAAGAGCAGTGAATCTGGAATCAGAAGATCTGGGTTCAAATTCTAGCTTCAGCAGTTAGTTTACCTCTCTGGGATTTAGTTTACCCATCTTAGGCCTCTGACACTTATTAGCTGTATGACCTTGGGCAAATCCCTTAACTTCTCTAAGCCTCAGTTTTTTCATCTGAAAAATCAGGGGGTTGGATTAGGTAGCTTTTGAGGTCTCTTCTAATTTTTTAATTTCTAAATCTAATTTTATGACCCATGATCATAGATTTATAAAAACCTAGAAGTAACCTCAGAGAACAAGTGCAACCAACTTATTAGGGATATGAGGAAACTGAGGCTTCAGAAAATAGAATTAGTTTTTGGCAATGTCTGGACTAGAAACCAGGCACCCTGACTTCTAGACTGGGTTATTTCTAGTTCATTCCTTTAGATTTAGATCTTCAGAATATAAATAATTGTTAGTCAAATGCCAATGATATTTCAGTTAATGGTGTCTTGATGGTCTGAAATAAGAGAATTTTCAGTACACTTCTAGAAAGTAACTTATACATGGAATTCACTGCATATGTGGTAACTGGATAATGCTCTTTTAGAGTTCTCTCTCTTATACTATGGCTAAATGTATACTAGTCACTAAGGAAGACATTGTTATTAACTCATGTTTTGATAGCATTTGAAAGGTCTACAAAGGACTTTCCTCACAACAACCTTGTCAGATAGAGAGCTCAAGTATCCTTACTCCTGAGCTACAGATGAAAGTACAAAAGTTCAGGGAAATTAAGCCACTCATCCACAGTCACACAGCTAGCGCAGGTCACAGTCAGGGTTCAAATATAGGCCTACTGACTTCAAGTCCTGAGTCTTCTTCATGGTATCAGGTTGCATTTCACACTAAAAGAGACACAAAGTGACTCAAGACCCCTGAAATTGAAACACCTGAAAAGCAATTGAGCTGGAAAAGCTTAGAATCATAGAGGATGGAATGTTGGAGCTCAGCGGACCCTTAGATCACACAGTTCTACTCTCAGTTTACAGAGGAAGAAATGGAAGCCAGATCCCTGGGGGAAATTGCTTAGCCTCCCTTGTTCTGTTGTCCAGCCCTTGCTCTGGTACTGTGGCCAGTGCAGATTATTTTGGACAGGCAAGGTTTTTAGGGGATTTCATTTTTTGACAACTATGGTCATGCATGTACTTTTACTAACTCAGCACCTGACTTTGAGGCAGGAAGATTTGAATTCAAATCCAGCCTTAAACACTGTGTGTCTAAGTTGTGTGACCTTGTAAAAATTATTTAACCTGTCTGCCTCAGTTTCCTCAAGAGTAAAGTGAGGATAATAATAGCACCTACCTCCTAGGGTTGTTGTGAGGAGCAATTAAGATAATATTTGTAAATTCAGTAGGTGGCCTGATAAATACTTATTCTGTTTTCTTCTTTGTCAGGTAAGTACTGGATTTTATGCTATACGTAAATGTTTTATTGCTCTTTTTTGTTAATTCTGTGGTTTTTAAAAATGGAGATTACTTAAAGGAAACACGAAAAAGTTGTAGCTCTTAAAGAACACACTTCAGTAACTGCCGTAGATATTGCACTGATTACTGGTGTGAGGAAGTCAGCGTTCCTAGGATCATTCAAGCCCACAACAAAACAGGAACAGTCTGGATGAAACGCAAAGGAAAGTGCAGCGGAAAACGAAACACTGTCAAGAATTGACAATACTGCAAAACAACCTAATTAATCATCAGAAAACAAAGAGCTTCTGTTGGACTTGAAAGCTGGAGGGGTTGTTAATGATTCCTTTACACGGTAGTATAGACTTCTGGAAGCTGGTATAACACTGAGTAAACAACAACAACAACAAAACAAACCCAGCTGCTAACCATTTCTTGGAAGAAAACATTTTTGTTATGGGCAAGACAATACAAAGTCTGGAGTACTTATGTTTGGGGAAGGGTAATTTTTACTGACAAAACTTACTATTCCATTCAAGGCTATACTAAAACCATTGTGAGAAGTCTGGGTGAGCCTAGGCATTTTTCTTAGACTTTGTAAACCATCCAATGAAAAAGTGTTCGTGGGATTTTTTTAATCATTTAATGGGCCTGGAAGTCTTATCCCTATTGAGGGAATAATAATGTTTCACTGTTTTGAGAACTCTCTGGATTTAACTGAAAACTTATAGATTATAATTGAAGCTAGACTTGGAAAAATGGGCTGATTATCAAAGGTACACTTAATATCCAATGTGCTAGAAGTTCCACTTCATGGAAAAAAAGTGAAAGAATGTGTCAAAAAAATTTTTAACTCAAAGCCAAATTATGTAAAATAAGTGATGGCAGAAAAAGGAGGGCTTATTATTAAAAAGTTTTTAAAGAAGTTAAAAGTTGTAAAGTTAACATTACGTCAATAATTTTAATTATTTTCCTTTGTTCAAAGTAAGTGACACCATTGTGGTCCAATACTTGATCCTTTTTTTTTTTTGCTCTTTTTTGAACCTCTCAAAGGTGCTTGTATCTCTTTTGCTATGCAACCCTCAATTGTTTTTAGAAGTCTAGCATGCATTTTATAAACATGATTGTTTTGAATCACCATTACCACCACCACTAAAGTTCCTGTATGTATATCACTGAATATAAATCAGCCACATAGTGCCACTGTTAAATAAGTAAGAATACACTAGCTGAAAAAAATAGCAACCAATAACTGGAATACTACTCATGATATTACAGGAACTAACTGGTTATTATCCTGAACCACATCAATCATTCTGCTAGATACATAGATAGCCTCTTTTCACTAGCCTTTCCAGGTAACAACTCTTATGGGAATTCCAGACACCTAGATGAACTATATTGTCTTTCTACCTCAAACCCCAACCTCCATATCAATTAATGAATAACTAAGTTTCAAGGCTGGAGGTAGGAAACTGGAAGCGAAAACCTCTGTGATCACTTTTCAACTTCCCAATGATCCCCAGTTTGAAAAATACTAGTCTACAGAAGCATAAGCTACAAGTTATTCTTCCATTTACCTTTGCTTTAGGATCAGAAAATGAATGGCCTCTTTTGAGAGGGAGGGATCCAAGCAAAATAGTGCTGGTCCATTAGCACAGTGTGCCAAAAAGAGCACTTGATTTGGAGTCAGATGACTTGGATCCCAATCCTCATTTTACTTCTTATCATCTGTGTGATTATGAATAATTTCCCCTCTTAGGGCTTCAGTTCCCTCCTTCATTAGATGAACTCTGAAATCTCTTCCAGAAATTCTTGTTGCACTATCCTTATCCTACGCAGAGTCTAGCCAAGTGCTAAACGAACATCAGGGCTAATCTTGACCTTTCTGACCCGGCGCTTTTGGATTACAACCCTACTCTTATTTCTGCTGCAAATTCATACTGGAGCATTTGATGAAGGACTAGACACGGACCTTCTTTCTCTCTTAAACTTTCTTTTTCTCCATATTTCACTATTCATCTCTCTTGTGGACTACAGAATTTCTAAGCACAGTTCTGGTTAAAATGGGTCAATATTCTGTCCAACATGAAACTCAAGGAATTAGGGCTTATACAGCCAATGGAGGAGTAGTTTAATGGACAGTTGATTTGGAACAGAAGGATAAAACTTACAATAGCTCTACAGAAAAATGTGCCACCAACACTGTCACTATGTTTTGAATGGAGTCTTAAATCTACCAAAATGCAGTATGGTTTGTCTTTCTATCTGACATAACATACCCAGGGTGGACAGAGGAAAATCATGGTGTAGTGGAAAGAGCACTGATCTTAGAGACAGAAAAAACTAGGTTCCAGTCCCATCATTGATGAAGATTTACTTAACCTCTCTGGTTTCAGGTTTTACATCTTAAATACAGGAATGCTCGAAAATGTTTAGGGACTCTCAGTTTTCTCTAGGATATAATACACATTCACTTCTTGGAATTTTCTCTACACTACCTCATGACTTTACTGACTTGTGAGTTTAATCACTATGTCTGTGCTGCTGACCATCAGACCTACAAATCTTGCCCTAGCCTCACATCTGAGCTTCAGTCATACATCACCATCAATCTATTCCAGTTCTTCTTAAGCTGTGGGTTACAAAAGGTTTCTGAATGTGCAGTGATCACAAATTAATGAAAAACCAAATGTATAATGAATCCAAGGTGTTTCTGGCAGTGCTAGCCTGTGCTGCATCATACAGCTTCACTGTAGCCTGGTTCTGATCACACAGCATGTGCACTTTGCACCGTGTATGCCATCTTGCCACACAACACCAACGAATGCCGCCGAAACATGAAAAGGGCTCACAAGTGGAAAAAGCCTAAGAAGCCCTGTATTAGACTACTGGATATCCCCTAGGCACCTCAAACTCAACACATTCAAAACAGAACTTATCTTTTCCCCCAAACCCAAGCCTCTTCTGAACATTCCTATTTCTGATGAGGTATTCCTACTCTTCTAGGCACCCAAATTTGCAATCATGGTGTCACCCTTAACTTCTGACTCCCTCATCCTCATGTCTAATCAGTTGCCAAATCTGGTAACTGCTGCCTCCACAACATCTCTTGCACTACTCCCTACTTTCCACTCACATAGCCGCCACCCTATTTCAGGGTCTCATCGCCTCTCATCTGAACTATTGACAGTCTCCAAATTGGTCTCCCTGCCTCAAGTCTTTTTCCACTTTAAGGCATCCTCCA